TATATAGATACTAGAATAGTTAACTTTCTAAGGTTAATATATTGTATAAAAATTGGGGGTTACCCGTTGAATAAATAAATAAAAAAAAAATTAAAATAAAAAATAACCTTCTGTAATATTACGGATACCTTGTTCAGAGTATCATTTATAGATGAATGCACTTTAATCCGGCATTGTATGTTTGTAAGGAACAGCTTGCGTTTGCGTTAGGTACAGACTTTCATCTTCCGTTAACATTGGAATTTAGGAGAAGATAAATGCATGCAGTATTGAATATGGCAGCGTGAAATTTGAATGAGTTGGATAGAAAGGAACGAAAATTATATAAAACTTATGATTTGAAAAAATATCATATTGTGAAATTTATATTTGTCCCACCTTCATAATTTCTTGCATAGACCAAAATGTGGTTAACTACTAAATTTTCAATTTTGATCCATTGTTTCCCAAATAATTATATCCTTATTTATTTCAATTTAAGGTTTATTCAAATTTTACGAAGATTGATTATATCAGAAGAATATTTTTCAATATTTTCTATATAATTTTCCTCTCCTCTCTCGACTAATCTAAATACAACATATGAAAAATTTTCAACCACTCCTTGAATCGATTTCAACTAAAAATAAATACCCAAGTAAAATATGTTGACTATAGTTAACAAACATTGAAAGCATTTTACCCCAGATATCTCAATTCAAATTACATCAGCAACTCCTTTTTGTATGACCAATATTTCTGCAGACAACCCCTCACGCAAATAATAAACCTCTACCAAACCTTCCCACACTGGATAAATCGACCTGGATGTAGCTAATTTTTTTACGTTTCTGCAGAGCACTCCCACGTCAGACAAATACAGACAAGAAGAAGGACGAACCGCCGGACCTGGAGAAATCAGTGAAACAGAACTTGAGAAACAGAGGGCGTTGTTGTTGGCTAAGCTTAAAGAGAGTGATTGACACTGACAATGATAATGTTTCTTAGAATATTTTAGGTTTTTACTGTGTATTTTAAGTGGTGATTTTATTTGGACGATTTTACACAAACAAGAATTTTGTGAGAAACAGTGGGCTTGAAACAGATGGTTATTCGGATTAATGAAACCACATTTTTTTTCTACACGGCTATGATGATGAACACTTTGTTTTTTTATAAGCGTATGCTAGTGAGCTAGCTTACACGTACTTTCAATAAATATTTATCTTGTATGAGGGTCTTGAATTTTATGTGTCCCAAGACATTTATCATTTCATTCCATGCTTTTTAAAATCATAAAATGGGCAAAATTGTCATTTTTGGGTTCTGTTCATTTTTTAAATTCTCTATCATTCTGTGATAGAAACGATGCTTTTCCAAACTTTATTAGTTTTCCAAATATTTGATATCATAAAACAGTGTCATTTAATGAACATCTTATTGTGAGATTTTCACTGAACAGTATAGAAAGCCACATCACGTGTTTCAATATATAATAGATTCCTCAGGCGTCTTCACACTGTCTTAATAATACCTAACTTGTGCTTTATATTATACTAGCTTTTAACCGCGGTTTCGCTCGCATTTATGCCATTAAATAAGTGTCAGTACAATATAAAAGAATCAATAGGAGAACTATATTGTGATGCTTGGCTGGGATTATCAATTTTTAAAAATTATTACCTAACCTAACTCAACCTAACCTAACCAACAAAGTAGCTAGATTTTTGAGATTTTTTGACAAACAATTTTTTTATCTTACATAAAAAATATATTTTTTTGTT